ATTTCGATAAATTGAAACCCTAATTTCAAAAAACCCTAACCACAACAACAACCAAACAATTACACAATTGACAATTAACACATAATATTTCAATATCCAATTCAACATACATACATAATCATTAATCAATTAGCAATTTCAAGTTTCAAAAACTCCCACACATTCAAACATATTATAACAATTATCAATCTCCAAATAACTCCAAACAAATATAAAAAGTTAAGATAAACCAATATACCTCGTGCGAATGAATTAACCGGAAATAAGGCTCGTGTCGCTGTTGTCGGTTCACGTCAGAGTGAAGATTGGATCGAGTTTTTTTTTTCTCAAGTATTTTCGCTCTTCAAAATGCTCTCAGTGGTGCTCCTCTCTGCTGCTCGCTCGCGTAATGAATGGAGAAGAAAGATTTTTTTTTTTTAATATGTTTTACGCAAAACGTATTTAAGGAATACGTTTTCTGTGCATTTAAATGTAAAACGTATTCCTTAAATACGTTTTGATTAAATGAATTTTTAAAAAAAAAAATAAATTTTTTTAAGACGAATTTAGTAAATACGTTTTATGAAAACGTATTTCTTAAATACGGTTTGTTTATTATTTTTTTTATTTAACGAAAATTATTTTGAAAATTGTTTACGATTTTTTTTAATTAAAACATTTAAATGAAAACGTATTCAAGGAATACGTTTTTTTAATTAATTTTTTTTTGAAAAACGTATTCAAGGAATACATGTGTTTTATGCTTGTCCACTCCCATTTTTCTTTTTTTTTGTCCACTTAATTTCTATATTTTTTTTTTAAATAAATCACCCTATAGATATACACTAGTGTGTATCCCGTGCGATGCACGAATAAACAATATGACTTTCATAGCATGTAAAATTGTATTATCACACGTGCATGATAAATCTACATCTCAAGTTCATACTTTGTGTTTTCAAATGGAATAACATCCTTCATTTTAGGGATCATATATATTTAATATGTTCATATCTACATATCGACAATTTAAATTTTGAGTTTGAAGATAACCCGAATCTATGACTGCAAAATATCGTTTAATAATTAAATCAATCGCAACTTAGGATTTGGTATTTTGAAATTTAGAAAAAAATAAAATCATTAATTTATGGGAGATATGTGATAAATCTATCTAAATCTTGTATACATCACGTCTTACAATTAAAGCAATGTTGTTATCATCCGACTCGGCAAGACGCTGTTAAGAGGTTTTAAGCATCCTATTAAATGCGATTAAACTGTTAAACCGACATGAATCAGAACCGCACCGATCAACACCAAAGAACCGGTCTGAACCACCAAAGACCGAAGTGATCAACGATTACCGAGGTCAACATCCACCGAGGACAACATGAACCGAGGTCGTCACCTCCTTAAGCAGGTGACAAGGCATCTACGAGAGACTCTCCTGCTCCACAAGATCTGTCATCATTTACGTGGGGCCCCCTGCCTCAAACCGCCCATAAAAAGCCACTTTATTCAAAAAGTAGTACACGGATCCCAGTGTATCAATCCGAAACTACTATAAATAGCGGACCTATGACAACTGTAAGGGGATGGATCTCTTTTTCTCAAAATTACCGAACTGTAAACCCTTTACTAAGTAACGCGTAAAAGCCCATCACGGCTCTTCACCTCGGTTCACCTCGGACCGGGGTCATTGTTGATCCAATCTTACATGTTTTACGTTCAAATCATTCCAAATTACTCACTGAATCATAAATTACATCGTTGTTAACAATCACATAACAACAAATGTAAACATGGAGATTAAGATATTTTGAATCTCTAATTTAAACAAAGACCGTAAAAATTTGATTTGGTATTTTGATATAAAAAAAATCATTAATGTAGGGGATGATATGTGATAAATCTATCTAAATATTGGATACATCACGTTTACAGTTAAAGCAATTTAAATATGGAGATTATTCTTATTTCGAATCTCTGATTTAAACAATGACCATAAATTTTTTCATTGTTTCAAAATTAGAGCCATGTATTATTTTTCATTATAAATAATTGTCAAACAAAATAAATAAATCGGCTGCAACTTTATTTTTTTAATTGAAACTGCTCAATTTGATTGTTAGAAAAAATATTTTCAAAAGAAATAAACAAATGATTTTTTTAAAATATTTTTACCCTAAAATCAGTCGTGATTTGTTTTGTTAAATAAAACCTGCTAATCAAAACATATGTATTAGGCTATTAGCCGATTATATAGAAAAAAAAAATCTGATATTTTTAAAATACAAAAGTATATTTTTATGGTTAGAAAAAATAGCACGTAACTTTTTTTATTATTAAATCAGTTGTAACTTTTTTATTATAAAAAGATGCCAAACAAAACAATTGTATTAGGCAAATATCTGGTTTTAAATTTGGAGAATATAATTGTCCGATGTTTAAATGAATTAGCAGTCGTGATACATTTGTATTAAAATTTAAAAATAGCGTTTTGTAATCAATAACCAAGTTTAATTGATGCAATCCGTGTATTATCATCTTTTGATATGCACATTGTGTTAAACCATCACAAATATTCAATAGACTAAATTTAAATAGCAGCCCAACTTTTTTAAAAATAAAAAGTAACAAACTTCTCATTTTAAGGACAACATTTAAAAAATATTATAAAGATACTATAAATAGCATGTAATTAATGCTGACCAGTTTGACCAAGAATTGACTTACTATTCTTGATAAATGGTAATTCTTTTATAAGATTGCTGAGTTTAAGCAAGAATTAAGAGCTTCTTTTACCCACTGCACCAATGTCTTTTGTTACACTCCAAACAAATGCAAGTACCATGTAAGCTCACATATGCATAAGTAATTTATTCATTATCATAGAGCTCATTAATCTTCTGTAAAATCGTTCACGAGCGATCGATGGCCGGGACGAAGTAAACACAACGGGACACCATGCACTTTCCGCATCATTTTGAGGTTATTTCGAATTATAAGAGGAAAACCGACAAATAATCCAACACTCGAGGAAGTATTACATATTATATCGAAGTTGATTTTGCGCACGTGTTTTTCCTTTTTTTTATACTCTCTTAATTTTCAAGCCATCCTTTCAAAGCTTCCGCCGATCTGCATGTGTAGCCAGTAGCCAGTCTGGAGACGAGCCCATGTCGTATTCCCGTGCGCTTGGTGAACTGAATGCTACTCCGGGAGCCTCAAAAGGTTGCTTGAGGATGAAGAGAAAAAAAGGTGAAAACTGAAATATTAATATTGCATTTGAGATTATAACCTAAGATATGAACAAAATTCAGGCAGTCGGGGAAAATATTAAGAATAAATTGCATTTTCAGTCTTGTTGTTTTAACGCCATAACATTTTTAGTCTCAAGATTCTAGCATTTCGTCTTTTGGTCTGTGATTGAACATTTTGATGCAATTTCAGTCTTTTGAGAACTTAAATTGCAACAAATTACCAAAATCTACAGATTTATGATCAGTAATTTAAGTCTTATATTTAAAATTTTGTTGCAATTTCAATCATGTAATCTAAAATTTTGTTGCAATTTCAGTCCTTCAATTGCAGCAAAATATTAAATCATAGGACCAAAAGGCGAAAAGTTTGAAATTTGAAACTAAATTTGCTTTAACATTAAACAAAGAGGACTAAAAATACACTTTAACCTTGTCTCCCGATCTTACATCTTTTGAAGGATATCCATCCATGGTCCCTCTCGCGTTTACTGCTTCAAGCTTCATTGATAAAAACTTCGACAAAGGACAGATTGTGATTACGCATTTTTCACTTACATTGGCACTCACACATGAAGAAAGAGAGAGATATACCTCAACTTGGCGCTGTAAAGATTGAATATAGTTAATAATCTCATCGAGCACAAGAGCTTTGCCGATAACCTGAGATGGTGGAAAAACACGTAATGCAAGATACAGTAAATGACAAACAAACAACAACAAAAAAAAAAAAAAAAAAACAATAATTTGATTTGGCGAAACTCCTAATATACTCGTCTGCATTCGATTTCAACTCTCATTCGAAACTGCCGAATCAGATTGATTGGATAACAAATTTCACGATGCCATGCAAGGTGATCGATTTCATTTCCAATTATCAAAATTATTAATTTTAATTTTTGAAAAACGAAAATCTGATATGAACACTCGAGGAATATATATTTACACGAAACAACAATGTCGATGCTCACTTTATTACAACCGGGCACTAAATCTTGGAGAATCTTCATCCTTTCACTAATCTTTTCTCTGCGAGCCTGCAAGAAAAATCCATAAAAGAAAAAAAAGAATCACTTAGGAAACTTTCATTTACAACCAAGACTTAGTTCAAAGAGAATTAAGGTCTTGTAATAATTACTCTTTCGGCTAAACTGTGACTATCGGTAGCCTGACCTCTTCTGGCCCGGACATGGATATAGTCTTGCTTAGGTTGTTCGGCTGGTTTCGAAGTTTGCTTGGCATTCTTGTTTGATTCTCTTTCGTTTTCTGTATTATTTTCGTTCGACTCCATAGCCTTCGGTTTCTTACCATCACTTCCATTCTACACCAAACCAAACTTCATTGCCACAAACTCAGAGCAAAAAGAATCCGACAAAAAATGGAGATTATCTAACTTTGTTATTTAACTAAAATGTTTATATAAATCAAGCAAGTGAATAATTTAAATATAGAAATAACAACCAAAACATTTGTAAACAAAAAATATAAAATAAAGTATATTTTCAACATAGGAGGAACATAAATCTATATTTTCTATGGAAATTATTGTTTCACACTAATTAAATATGGCTTCCCAGATCTATGATGTAGGACATTATTATATGAAGTCAAATTCAGCATATACTTAATTCAAGTTGTCAAATATTTATTTAATGAATAAATGTCATACATAGGAGTATCAAATAAATAGAAAAAATAAAAAATAAAATAAAATAACACTAGAAAGGAATCTAATCACTATTAGCCAATAAAATAAATATAAATAAATAAATAAGTATCCAAAAGAAAAATTCCGACTTTCTCAATTTAGTATGTAAAATTGTGGCTACAACACTTTATAATCTTGGCAAAAATTCAATTTTGGTCCTCTAAGTTCGTCATTGTCCAATTTTGGTACACCAACTTTCCCCTCGTAAAAAATAGTCTGCTATGTTACAATTTTCGTCAATTTTAGTACAGTAATCCCGAGTAGCTGGATTACGTGATGACGTGGAAAATTGTAATCCTTCCATGTCAAAGTTCTATGCATCCATGTCATCTTAATCCTTGTCCACGTCATCACGTAATTCGGCCTATTGGGATTATTGTACTAAAGTTGACTAAATTGTAACATAGTGAACTATTTTTTATGAGGAGAAAGTTAGAACAATGGCCAATTTAGAGGACCAAATTTTGCCATACAACTTCATAGAACCCAAATCAATCTAATGGGCATGACATACCATTTACTGTATTCTTATTTATATTTATTATATCGTTTTCCTTTTCAATTAATTATCCTTATTTGTGAGAAATTAACATGATGTTGAATCGTCAAGATGGTGTATTCGTTTGGGATTCAATTGATACTAGTAAAACACCGGTGTATTACACGGGTCATTATTAAAAAATTATTCTGAAATTTTAAAATTAATGAGAAAAATTATTTTAAATTTTATTTACATTTTTACGAAAAATATATATTTTTATATAGTTTAGAATGACATTTGTTACTTGTGCTACTTACGTGTGTTATATTATAGTAATTTTTATAACTTATGTTATATAACTACTTGAAATATAAATATATTAATTGATAAATAATTTTATTTTTCTAATTAATATTTAAAAAAAATTATTAATGCTATAAAGATTAATATAATTGATGTTATACATACAATATGGATGTTAAATCGAAAAACATCAAGAGATGATTAATTTGATATATTATATATGTAAAACTAATAAAAAATACAAAAGTTATTAACTTTTAAAATAAATTTACAAATCAATTGTTATAATAGTAAATGATATTAAAATACAATTAATACATGTAACATTACCATAAATAATCAACATATTATGGATAATCCAGAAAGAATTAGAGAAAGTAAATCAAAATTCAAGGATATATTAGTCACTTAGCGCATTAAGTAAAATTACAAAGAATTAAAGGGTTATATTAGTACTATTGTTATTAAAATACCTAAAATAGCTAAATAATATTTAAGGAATGTCCAAACCTATATTATTAATTTATAATATATCAATATTATTTGTCCAAACCTAATTACGAAGCATGATTCTTCGCCAAGTAGGATTCCGAAACACCACAAACAACCACGTAGGCTCAGCACATTCGGGAATTATATATAGGGGGATTTTAATTTATCTTTTTATTTGAGAATTTTAAGATTTTTTCTATTTAACTTGAATGATTGAATTCAGGTAAGATTTGGTATAACATTTAAGTTGAAATCTCATTACATCTTAAAAAGTCAGCAAATTTTTCAATGATGAATAAATTGACAATACATTCTTATTTCATGAATTGATACTGTTGTTCATTTTATGTTATAAAAATACAACATTTTAAGTGTGAAGTATGGATAATGTTCCCTTACCCACAGTGGGCACATGTTAATATGCCTACCGCTTATGTGGCATGCACATATTGGTGATGTTAATATTGTTCAAAAAAATACATCACCAATGAATGTATGTCACATAAGCGGTGGTCGTATTAATATGTGACCACTATGGGTAAGTGAGCATTACGCGTCAAGTATGTACATAAGTCCAAATTTTATGATTGTCTAATCAATGCACACTAAAACTCAAATTCAAATTCAAATTAAAAGAAAAGGAAAATAAAAAAACTAACCGGAAAAGTAGGTGTGCCGCCGCCGCCATTACAATTGCTGGTGGAAGCTCCTCCGTTGGCGGACACCTCATCACCTTCCTCTTTCCTTTTCCTCGACCCACTACCGTCCGGGTCATGACCCGATCCGTGATCCGTCAGCATCGGATCCAGTCCCAACCCATACGCCGCCGCATTGCTGCTCACCTGAAACTCCGGCCAGATCTCCGCATACCCATAAACCCCTCCGCCACCGCAGCCGCCCATCATCGCCGCCCCCTGGTGATCCATTTCCGACCCGCGACCCGGTCCAAATCAGCTGTGTGTGAACTGTGCGCACGATAGCTTTGGGCGCGTACTTGCCCGCCGGCGCACGATATCTCCGGCAAGCAATTGGATCTTTGATCTTTCACTCTCAAGAGAGAGAAAGAGAGACCTCCGGAAGTGAGTGACTTCTGAGTGAACTTTTTCTCGGAGTACTGTACTGCGTTTCGTGTCTTATATTGTGCGGGTGGTTCACATACACCGACTCTAAATTTTATTTATTTTTAAAATATTTTATTGAGATAGAAAGGGAAAAGGAGTATAATATAAGCTGGTCAGTGTTTGTGTAGCTGTTTGAAATTACATTTTTTTTACGTCTAAATTAGGTTGAGTAGTGATATAATCATCATTTCAAAAAACAACATTAATTAATTATATATTGCTTTGGATGTTATTGGATTGATATCATATTAGTGGAAAATGCTACAATTCTGTTAGAGAACCATTACCGAGATTTATAACCATTAGATTATCATGTAACCGTCGTGGATAATTTATCTAACGGTTATAAATTCCGATGGAATAGAATCTCCCAAAATTGATGGAATGAATATTGTGTAGTAGTTTGACTTGTCAAATTCAAGAATATCTTGTTTGGTAAAAATAAAAATACATATATATATATTTTTTTTCAAAACTCTAATTCAAGAAAATAAAATTTATGTTTTTTTTTAGAGATGAACCATAACATTTTCAAAATAGCTATACGAATCGGTATTTACTAAACCCTCATTTACATAGTGTTAATACAATTTGTTGGTTAAATCAAATATTACAAACTACGATTCACTAATACAATCAACTGTTTGATATCAGCAAAATTAAAAGTTTGAGGTGAATTAGATGTCTGGCCCGTCGAAACATCCAATTGAATAATTATTTTGTAAGTGATAATTTAAAATTAATTTTGAAGGCTAATTTAGAAAAATGAAAAAAATTTGAGCTTTTTTAATAGATGTTTGTAAAAATAATTAGTTTTGCATACCAAACAATTAATTATTTACCAGACTTTTCGAATAATTAATTAACCAAAACTACTAATTCAACCAGTTATCCACCAACAATCAGTTCCCAATATCTGAAAAATATTTACTCTAACACCAGTGGCAAGAAGCTTTTCCTGTTGCTGTGCATGGGAGAGAAGGTTGGTTGATGGCAATTGCTTGGGGTCTAACTATGGCTAAGGATAACAGATGCTGTGATTTTGATTTGTTGCTGCACTTTGATGATTTGGTGGCCTATTTATCTGATAGCCTTAGGTCTCAAGCAGATTTATGTTCAGATTTGGTTTGTATTAAGGATTTGATGATTGTTTGTAATGTTTCTATTGGTACTCTATTTTAATGGTTTGTGTGCTATTTTTCTTTCAAGGCTTGTTGCCTTTTAGGTCTAGGTCCTCCTAGGTCGTGCTGGGTGGGTCTGATTTCGTTGGGCTTGTAAGGTTGTAGCCATTTGGTTACCGGAACTTTGGTTTGAATTTTATGAAATTTGCTTATTTGCCTGGAAAAAAAAAAAA